CCACCAAAGCAGGTACCCAAAAAGTCGACTTTTTGGGTACCTCCCAGGTTTACCAATTTAGACCCAACCCAGCACCACCAAAGCAGGTACCCAAAAAGACAAAGCCTAGAGCATTCCTAGGAAAATGCCAGAAAAGCCTTTGAAAATTTCATAAACCAACAGAAAACGTGACAAAGTCTACGAAAAAGCAAGGGCATTGGCCGGGACCATGCCGCGACCAGCCCGGGATTCGAGCCCAGGACCATTTTGGACCGTGCTTATTTTCCCGCGCGGGTCGAGAGGGTGCCCCAAGATGTAAATCAATTGGGATGGCAGAATCTTGGACAATTCCCGGGTTGCTCAGGGCGAGATTTCGTCACTGCAACAAGGGTCCGGAGGGGTAGGGGAGGTAAGGTCTAGGTCTAGGTCTAAGGCTAAGGACTAGGTCTAAGGTCTAAGGCTAAGGCTAAGGCTTAAGGCTAAGGCTAACATCGACAGTCACGCCTCACCCCACGGTGTGGGGTCGGCGGATTTATAGGTCTGTTTTTTGGAAAACTATAATATACAGTATATACATATTCATTTATTAGACAAGACTTTCATCGCAATGTGTGGTCAAGTCGTCCCCACCAAGCAGAATCGTTCATCATCAGTGAAGGCTTGATGCGTTCCATGTGCAATCGAACAGGGGCTATCACCACTCCGGGTTCCTTCCAATCATTTGCCTAACTGGCCGGTGATTTGGGCTCACACGGTGCCCATCCTGCCACTCTTCAGTAGAGCCTAGAGGGGGAGCCTATTTAGGCATCTCAACAACATTAAACACCTATTAAAGGGCTGCAGAGTTGGAGAGCTTCTGAACAAACCTGGGGAAGGTCTCCTGGTTGCCATAATATTATGTCAGCCTTGGTGTTCAACAGACGAGTTGTTATCCCTGCTACCGGTTACCCGCAGACAAATCAAGACGGACAGAAACCCACTCCCAGCCAGGAAGGAGAAGGGTCGTTCGACAAAGCGGCGCCAGCTTGAGATCCTTTATAACAAGGGACATGTTGGGACGGTGAAGTTTCAGTCCATGTGTTTCTGGTTAGGACTGTTTTTTTTCAATTAATTATTGGGGTGTTTTTCTTGTTTAAAGGGGTACATCAGAGATGGACAGCTGAAGCCATGTGCTGGACATGTATATAGTTCATGATTCTGCTGACCGGAGTGCGGCTTCTTCAGACCTTTTGCCAAGGCTCAGGGGAATGCCAAGATTGTCCTCGACGCGTTCGAAAAGCTGTCGCCAGATGATCAAGAGGCACACCGCGGTGTGTAGTCGGACCGATGGACTGGACAAGAGCGAATCAACAGCCCCACCTGGAGAAAGACGTGTTTTTGTTTATTGGACGTGGAGTATATAAGTGTTCGGTGTGTTCACTATGTTTGACAGTTTGTATGCCTGGGCCTGGGCAAACACTGACACTGTTGGTATTTCTGAAATAGTTTTACTTTGAGGTGCTTGTCATATATTTAAGTGATGGCGTCAGCATGGCTTCATGCTTTTAAGTGAATGTGTGTGTGTGTGTCCAAGGTTTGACGTTGGTATTTTGTGTTGTGGATCGCCTAGTTTTCACCCAAGCCCAACTTCATCCCTTAAGACTACTTCTAATTTCGACTTGAACCCTGGAAATTCTTGTGGCCCCTGTACATGGCGAAGACCTTTCCAGAGATCAGATCAGAATGTCCATGCCAAGCCAAGTTGATAATTATGCCTGGCTGAGGCATGTGTAATGTTTCCATTTGTTTCCATGTGTCATGAGTCTTGGCACACACACACACACATCCAGCAGCCAAGCAACTGCTTAGAGGCTAGAGCAACTGAAGAAAACCTAAAAGCGGCAATTCCGGGTTCCAGGTATAGATTGCCAGTGGACTCGGGGGGTTCTCCGGTATATTGGGAGCTTGGGAGCCAGAGCTACGGCTGAAAATGGACATGCCAGTAAAGCTTTAGCTAGCATTGTATATAGGGTGGGTGAATTCTGTCCATTTGCTAGAGTTTTGGTTTCTTAGCTGCGCTACAGCCTGTCGATTTGAGCCATGTGGGGCGTGGGGAGTCAAGTTTCCAAACCGGAGTCGTATGTCCTTTGACTGTTCCGCAGTGATTCCTGTGCTTCAAAAATGGAAGGAGCGGCAAAACGCCCCCACCCCTGCAGCAAATTACGCATTTCCTTGGAAAGGGAAGGATGCCCAGGTTGACCATCAGCAACCAACTCGAGCAGAAGCGTGATGTATCACTGTGTGATGGTGTGTGTGAAACGCATGTCAGAAAGCCAAATTCCGATGCCTTTTTTTTCGACTTTCCGCAATCCATGAGAAGGGGCTGTGGATAAAACTGAAAACGCCCTGGTGATCGATTGAGAAGATCGCTTTCGATTTGGCAAAGTTTTTCCCCAAATGCTTAGCAGTGAAGAAGTCTCTCAACTCCATCGCCCATGTCTTTGTTTCAACAGATCCCTAAACGCATCGAACACCGGACCGTGCCCTGCTAGGTCCTGAGTGTGGAGATGGCACGCACGGGTTTGGGGCTCAGATGCGCCGTTCCGATGTCCAGGTGTGTGTGGCCCAAGATGTTTCTTTCGACCGAAGGTTGGGGGCTCATTCTTGGAAGGGGTTCCTTCCGGGTAAGGCCAAGAGTGGAGATGAGATCCAGCAGGGCAACCTGTGGAGGAGGTACATCGCTATTAGGAACAGGTGCATTGCTAGCCGCTAGTAGCAAGAAGCTACTAGTAGCTATGTGCTACTAGTGGTAACCACCTGCACGTGCCCCCAAGCCGGGGCGAGTGCGAGACAACCCTTGTCCGGCACAGGTGGTTGGTCTAGGAGCGAAACACAGAACCGACTTCTGAAGAAATGACCATCATGGACCGTTGTTTCAAATAAACACAGAAATGACCGTTGTTGAATCGATGTAACGCTGGTGAAATGGTGCACTTCCCTATAGGGTTGGCCGGCTAAGAACACGCGATGGCGCGTGTTCTTCGCGTCAGTTTGCATCGCCGAACGCACGGTGAGGTGCTGAGAATCAAAGCTTTTCCAAGGGATTTGTCCCAGATTCCGTTGCTTGGTGTGGATGATGATGCAGGGGTTGTGGATGTGGCGGAAAAGCCTTAAGAGACGCGCCGCGTACGCGCGTCGCGCTTGCTTTTTCTCGTCCACCCAGAGCTTTGAGAACGATCTTGGGTATATAGATGTTGCCTTTAACTTATGGTTTCAATTTACTGTAAAGTTAGCATTGACCTTTCAACACGACATGCCTAATGATTTGTGTTTGCTTTCCTTTTGCCGCTACTGCAGGCCAGACACCCAGGTTACTCGTCAACACAGCTGTAAGGTTTAGAAGAGATGACAGCCAGGATGGTCCAATGCAGTTTAGTAGCCGCCTGAGCGTAACCTCTCAGCAATCTGGAGACACATAAGTCTTACGGGTTGTTCACGAAACCTTGCCAATGCCATGGCCCATAGCAGCTCACCAGAAAACTCTCTTAAAACATCTTAACACCATGGCCATATCGGTTGACATGTTGGATCCGTTCCTGCGATCACCTTCGATCTCCGTTCCCAGGTGAGGCAAGAGTTGTTGGGACCAGCCTTTTTGGTCTACTATGGGCCTGCGTTCTTGCAGAGGCAGGGTCCAGGGTCGGGCGCTTCGAGCTCGACCAAGGGACCAAGGGGCGGAGCGGGATCTACTGTGCGCACCCTGTGGACCTACGGTGGGGTGTGTGGCAGGTGATGGCAGCCGTGTTTATGGTGCATTTGTTTTCTTTGAAAAGAGGCCCCATCGATCCAGTCGATTGCATGTTTTGGTTCGTGTGCCCTTTTTTCCGCCCCGGGCCCCTACTCTGGGACAGCCCCAGGCCAGCAAGCCCCTTAGAGATGCCATACGCCTGTAGGCCAAAGTCTTGATTCCTTTTGATTCATGATTTGAGGGTGATTTTGAGATATTGCAAGAAGTGTGGTCGTGCTTTTTGAGATGTTTCATACCCACCCTACAATCAAGCATACAATTTGGTGTACTGTCATTCTCTTGAGCTTGGGTTGCGGGGAGAGCTGGTTGGAGAGCTGGTTGCTTTGAAGGGCCATGAGACCGAGCCAGCACCCCAATGGCATTGGTTTTGGGGCGCCAGTTACCCCTTCGAATGCCGTTCTGGACACAGCATCAGACTTCAGGGTCCGTCCTTTCCCCGGGTCGAACTCATTGTCATTAATCCATCATTCTGACAAACATGTGCTTCGCAAGGACTGACAAACACACCAGCTTACCGAAGCGAAACACATCGCTCCCTGGAAGAAGCTGAGCTGGTAAGCTTCAAGAAATCCGATGGTGAAAAAGATCAACACAGAGGAAACATGAGGAAATTGTTCTCCAAATAAAGCACTTGCCTTCGTTGTTTCTTTCCAAAAGCATTGACGCCGGCATCGGCGCCCTTGGGCGGCACACCGAGCGCCAGGATGGGTACTGACAGCCCCGTGCGCCGCTTGGAGATTCTGGCAGAGATCTACCGCTGTGCGCGCAAGCTGTGGCCGGTACGGGCACCTGGCATAGATGGGATGGCTGTCATGAACTGAACAAACCCTTGGAGGAGAAAGGACATAGGAATTCAATGCCCAGACACTCCATGGGACTGCCACATATGCCTACATTGACCCCCAAAACCACCCCAACTGATCGGCAAATATGGCAGTCCCATGGAGTGTTTGGGATGGAATTCATCACCTTGGGGAGAATGAGAATCATGAAGAATCCATGATCTACAAACGTGGTTTCCCCCGCGGGTCTCAGTGCTGGGCTGTGTGGGAATTCAGGCGTTCCGAACACATGCAGCGATGAACAACACATGCACAGTACAGTACAGTGGTTTCAGATGGCATCACCATCGCCAAGTTTAGGTGGTTTAGACGTACCAACATATGTACCTTCTCCACATACTTCCGACATCTTGAAGTCTGTGTCTACTCTGATCACCCCTCTAATCATGATCGCCTTGCGCTGCTTACGCTTGATCCGGTCCGACCAGGCCAGCGCCGAGCAAGCGGGGCAGTGCGTCACCGTGCGCATCGATGCCATTACGATCCAGGCGTCCGCGGCGAGGGGAAGCCGGTGATGTGGAGCTTGGACCAGGAGCTGTAGGTCACGTGGAAGTGGAAACCGCATGATTTTTCAGATTGAGAGGTCAAGATAGAAGTCTACAACAAGCTGTTCATTGCAATCTTATCCCAAGTCTTTCCATCGGGTCGAAAATCATTATTAAACATAGACATGAGGGCTAGGCTGCAGAATTGTCACTGGTTATATAGGTCGTGGGTTGCTAGATTATGATAGATTATGATTATGCTACATCACGCCAGAAAAGGAGCATCAATGGGGAGCGGGGAGATAACGATGATAGAGTAATATAGAGTATGACCCTGGGAGTCAAAGACTGTTTGAAAAAATCGCTTGAATCGCTTGAATCATGCAAAAAATACAGCCTTTGGGCTTCTGAAGAAGGGAAGCGGATTCTTCTCAAGAAATGAGTGAATGCCTCAGCAGGACCCTTCCTCCCCTTGCTGAGCCAACTTACTGCACTACTCACTGCTCCAAACAAACGTACAGTATACCTAAAGCCATGGGCTATAGTGCTCGATGATTGTTAGTTTTCCTGCTGAAATTATTTGTCCTAGCATGGGCCTGTTTGAAGTACCCTTGCTTTTGCTATAGGGTTTTGCCTGTGTTGACATTCAGCATGACAGTCGTCATCAAGCAAGAATGGGAGCGAGCTGTGAACCAAGGGGGCGAAACAGCCGAGTCTTTCAATGATTGATACATATTTGATCATATGAATCATATGTGTTTTTGCTATGAGTACACGTGCTCAGTCTTCTAAATCATGTTCAGCGCCTTTCAGCCATTTTGACTAAAGAGCTTGCCTCAGCTCCGCTCCGTGGTGGCCTGGAACACCCCCGCGGACCGAAACGGGGCGACTGGACGACTGGACGGCACCGGGCAGGGGCAATGGAGCAGTTCTGATCCGGAACTCTTGCTTGTGAGGTGGGGCTGGGAGTCGGGGTCGGGAGATGAGATGTGATGAGAAAAGATGGCATGGAACTCCCTGATACATTCTTTTTTGAGTCAGTTACAATCGAAGTGGAACATGAACCCGAAGACCATACTCCTCGACCAACAGGGCTGTTCCACCAACACACGCGAGTGGGTATGCCTCTCTATGCCTGTCTACATGCCTATCCTCGGGTCCAGGACTGGAGGATGTCCAGTCCAGGCGCCATTTGGACCCAGGGAAGTACTGTCACCTCCAAGACCATCCTCAGGAGGTAGGGAAGGACCCTATGGACCCTATCTCCTGTTGCCCAGAACGCTCGAAGCAGCGATGGTTGGTCAACAATTCTTTGCTGCAGCCTACCACGGTCTTGATGCAGCGGTCCGGGCGGAAATCGGGCTTTGTGGGAAAGCAGGGGCTTTGTTGGAAACCGTGTGGTTCCTTGTGCAAATATATATATAATATATAATATACATATTAATGTACATTAGATAAGTTTTCTTTTAGAGATGTCTACTATGCAACTGACATCAATTGACCATGTCGAAGTGTTCCGGATATGTGGAAGCCATGTAATTGAACTATGGCCAACCAGGTTTGCTGATGCCTTGGCCCTTAGACCTCTTCAGCTTTGTTATCATTTTGATTCATTTTGCAGGACCTTGACGCATGTTGCCCATCGGAAGGGTGCCCCGTGGATACTCAAGCTTCAAGGTGCCTGATGTACAGCATTGTTTCACCAACTCGACGGACCCCTCAAACCACTTGAAGCGGCTCCATGTTGAGACTCCGCGACTCAGCAACATGGAACTGGAACATGGGCAGAAAAGAAAACGACCTCCCTCTACAACAAGATGTTTCTTATAAGTGTCCATTCTTTTCTCCAACACGCTGTCTCTATGTCGTCTCACGTGGATATCCGTGGAGAATCTTGGTTCTTGGGAGTGGAAAACCGATAAGAAACCTCGTCCTTGGATGTAGAGGTTTGAGGCCTCACTGAATCCCACGCCAGGATGTGCAGCAGCAAGCAGGCCTGCCTGGAACGAAGGCCAGAAGACGCAAAGAAGAACCGTGAGGCACGGAGGGAGATTGGCTCGAGAGATGATTGATTGGCTTGAGAGGGTAGGGTGCCATTTAGTGGTTGAAAGTGTTTTTGTTGCTTTTCTTGAGCTGTGCACCTTGAGGATGGACACTTTTCACACACGACAGCAGTTGTTTCGGAAGATGTTCTCCGTTGCACCTGGTTGCAGCCTCACCTTGCAGTTCGCTTCAATGGACCGAACGGGGTGCCATCGAACCTCTCAAAACCACCATCTATCCCTGAGCCTAGTGGTTTGACCCTACCGTACCGTGGTCTACCCGCCCATCTCACTGCGCATGTCTCACCGCGCCCGGCTGCCCAGGACAACACCATTTTCCTGTTCGACACCGAGCCACCGACCTTCCTCCCAGGGGCACCGGAGCTTTGTTCGCAAGAGGCCCAACCATCCCGTGCGCGGGTTAAGTTCTCGGCGTTTGCTGTCAGAATGAAGCCAATCTTCTTGAAAGAGTGGAGATACCATGGGATGCCGCTCCCATTCATCGTATTCATTAGAGCGCATGGGCCGCTGCCACAGACAGTGGCATGATGTGACGTTTTTGTTCCGACCGCTGAGCTGTTTGCAGGAGATGATCCGACGAATCAGCAAAGAAATGCTGACCAATGGGCCGCTTATCCTCGAAGCGAGGATGGGCAGCGCTAGTTGAACTTGTGCACCCCAAAATGCCAACATAAGTTAAGGCTGGCAGTAAGGCAGGGTCCAGCGACTCTAAGAGAAAACATCACCATGGCATAGTATGGCATTGGTATGGCAAATTTGGGTCCACACCACACCATTGGAGTACTATTCTTACAATACTCTACATTTCATACAATATATATATATATGACTATTGTGGTGTGATCACGGGCTGTGTGACTGTACGATAGTAACTTAGTACAAACTGTTTTGGATCCACACTATGGGACTCAAGAACCCTTCCTTAGGATGGCGTGACAGGGAGAGGGGAGAGAGAGAGAGATATATATGTATAATATACTTTTGGACCATCAAAGTGCTTGTCAGCTACGCATACACACGGAATGCTGCCGAAGTGAGTTTTTAAGCATTTCAAGTTGTAGCCGTTGGCCCGAATCGTTCCAGTCGTGCGGCTGAGGCGGCTGAAATTCGGGAGACCGTCCTTTAGGTAGTTGAGCCATGCAGGTGGACCGCCTGGCCACGCCGGCCGCGCCAGGTGTTTTTGAGCTCCTCAGGTCTCTGGATCCTGGAGCCGTGCTGGTCAAGTGCCTTGCTTCTGAGGTACGCGCGGTACTCCTCAGCGATGCTGCGCTTCCACTTAGGTTCACCATGTACCATCCACGATTGATCTCAATGGATCCGCTGACACTGGCGGTTGACTCTTCGGACATCTTTGAAGCTGTTCATACCACGGAGGCTTTCTCTCGAAATGTCTTGGAGCTTTGTGCCGGAACTGGAGCTATGGGGTTTGCTACCGGTTTCATGGGCACCACCACAGTTAGCTCCTTGGATTCGAATTGGTTGGCCTCGCAACATCTTCGACAGTGTTCAGCAAAACCGGTTTTCGAAGCAGATCTTGGGGATTTAGATAGTGTAGAAAAGCTGCATTTGGAGCTTCGACGTACCAATCAGAGCTTTACTGCACTAGCAGGATTTCCCTGCCAGCCCTTCAGCCTTCAGGGACATCGTTTGCACTTTCAGGATTGCAGGGCACAGACCTTTCACAAATTGATGGATTGCTTATTCCTCTTACAGCCACAGGCTGTTCTACTGGAATGCGTTCCGGCCGTTCAGGAAGATGACCTTCTCCAGCAGGAGCTCTCTCATTTGGCCTCGAAGATGGGTTGGCAGATCGATCAAACCATCCTGCACCTTCACCATCAATGGCCAATGAAGCGATCGCGATGGTACTGTCTCCTTCGACCAGTTGAATGGAGTGGCTTCCCATTGTGCCCTTGGCCTGAAATTATGCCTCCCCCCAAGGTCTCGGAGGTTCTTCCTTTTTTGGGGAGTTGGGATGAAATGGTGATCAGTAATCTTCAGTTGCGGGTTGACGAACTCCGATACTACATGGACAAGAGCTACGGCACGGACAAGCGACTGCTGGAAGGGCACGATCAATGCCCGGTAGTGCTTCACGCCTATGGCAGCCAATTTGACCCTTGTCCTTGTGGATGCCGCTCGGCTGCGTTTAATCTGACTACGCTCCAGCAGAAGGGACTTCGTGCCTTCTTTGTGGTGGATGCTGACACCAATGTTCCGCGGCTACTTCATCCGACTGAGCTGGGGGCCCTTATGAGCATGCCACCACAGTTTCAAATTCATGCCACAGGACGGGCCGCACTATGTTTGTTGGGCAATGCTGCAGCACCTTTGCAAGTGCTTTGGACCTTTGCCTCGCTCCTTGCAGGTGCAGGACAGCATATAGATAAATTGGCCTTCATCCACCCACTTGAGGTCATTGAAAAGTATGGCAACTTAGTCAAGGATTCCTACCGGCTCTTGATTCCCTCCCCTATGTCTTGCCCGCCAACGCGTCTGGACATCAAGGCTGAAGATGGCTCCACGCTTTCCATCTTTGCGGCCACGGCCACGACCATTGGTAATTTTTTGCAGGCAGAGCGGATCACATTAGACTGGGGGTATACTCAAATTGTACGAGCTGGTGATTTTCTCCTCTCTTCGCAAGACGATTTGCATCACCTTGCTTCTCAAGCTGACCTTCAATTGGAGAGACAGCCAAAGAGACGGCGCACAGCGTCACCTCAGGGATTGTTGATGATTGGTCTTCAATGTGGAAGCTCAACAGATGCTCAGTTCTTCATCTCCTGCGTACCAGCCGGTACTTTCCTGTTTGAATGCATGAGAGAGCATGGCTTCAACTATGAGAGATTCGTGGTTGATGACGATGGTCGACTCTTTGGTGGAGACACCCGCCTTTGGACCTCAGGGCGCTTTACTATCCTTGAGGAGAATAGCTTTCCGTCAATCTTGATGGATCCGGCAGGCATGCAGAGTTCTCATGACGTTCCTGGTCACTCAGGTCCGGGAGGAGCAACTTGCGGCTTGGGCTCGCACATCATTGATCAGGTCCTGCATGACTGGATTCAGCAATGTTATGGCAGTTCACCACAACCATGGTGCCTCAAAGCCCTTTGGATGGACTCAGATTTCCAAGTGACAGGCCTTCCTCAGCAAGTTGAGGACAACGTTGGAGAGGTTCTGGCACCGCTTGCTCATCGGCACCATTGGGCCTTGCTCTATGGCAGAGACAGTCCCTCCGGATGGGAATGGTTCTATCTGGATGGCATTGCGGGCTACATGACGGCGGCTATGACCCATCTTGCTCAGAAATTGGCTTCTCTCCTGCAGACGGAGTATTCAGGCCTCAAACATCGTCGGTTGATCCATCAGGATGATAACCATTCATGTGGCACAATTCTTTTGGCTCATGCCGCCTCCATCTTGGGCCTGACAGGCACATTCGATGATGCCCAGATCCAGCAGCTGCATGAATGGCTTCTTGGACATTTTCCCTTTAGTGCACATTCCCCGGGTGGACCTGAAGCTTCTGGTCTCCAAGGTGAATTGGCTCAGATCCTTATTAGCAAAGGTGTCCCCGCCAACAGTGCTTTTGAACGTGCAGGAGACGCCATCACAGCATTGGGCTCTGACAAGCTCGCAGCAGCCATGACGGCCAAGAATCCATGGCAGGCTCTGAAAGGGGTCGCCATGCAAGGCAAAAAGCAGTTCAAGTTTGTCCTTGCTTGGGAGCTTCAGGCCCACATCGAAAAGAGAGCAAAGGAAAAGCATGGTGCCAACCTCCCACGAGAACGCAAGAAGGAAAAGCATGCCATTGAGATTCCTGCAGTTCCTGATCCTAGCCAATTGCAGCTTCATCTAAATCACTTCCGTGATGCTGATGGTAATTCACTCCCTCAGATTGCCTTCGCTGATGTCTACAATGATGCCAGAGGGATTGCGCTATGTACCAAAGCTGAAGCCATGCCATTCATCCAACAAGCCAAATCCATTTCAGCGCTGGCTCTTGCTTTGCTCATAGTTGAGGAAGTTCCAACAGCAGAACGAGGGGTGGCCAAGGTTGGTGAACTTCGATTCCCCGCCACTTACACGGCAACAGATGACCCTGTGCTCATCCGTGGAGCTCTACTACAGTTGGGTGACGTCTCGGTTGTTCGGGCAGGGCCTCCAGACCCTATGGCATCTTCATCTTTGGCCCCCACGATGGTCATCAAGTTGGCCATCTTTCGCGATGAATTGGCATTGGATTGGTCTGATTTTGTCAACTCACCAGTCAAGCATCTATTGACCATGGTGCCGGCTTTGCGGCTGTGTCGAGCTTCTCCTTGTCCTGATGGCGCTCGCTGTGGATTTTATCACCCACCTGTCGATGAAACACCTGATCAAGTACTACAAGAAGTGTGGTCACGCAGGTTCACCCTTCTGGCAGGCTCCACTTGTGAGGCAGCTCAAGCAGATTTGTTCACGGCCTTCCTTCGTATCCTTGCAGATGCGGCAACAGCCGTGCTTCGGGTCAATCAGACTGGCATCTACTTTGAACCAAGGGATGAGGCCACACGCTCAGCACATCCTGGTTATGCAGTTGTCTGGATTCCGCAAGGAGATGCTGATCGCGCTCTTCATTTACTGAGAACCACACCGGAAGCCATGGCACTGGTGAGACTCAAATCTCGCTATGGACTGCGTGTTCAAGCCAAGCATGAGCAGACTGTTCATGAAGCCCTGCGACCCAATGCTGAGTTTGTTCAGGTGCGGATCACTCAGATCTATCGGCTGCACCCTTTGCCACATGGACTACAACGAGCAACTCTTGCCAAATTCCTGAAAGAGATCAAATGGTGTGCACGGCCACTACAGCCCTCAAGGGGTAGCTCGGAAGGTGCTAGCTGGAATGTTGGGGCCTCATCGGCACCGCCAACACCTTCAGTTCATGCCTTTGGACGGGACATCCTCATCACGCTTGTCAAGGAGCACAACTCTGGCCCGGCGCCCACTTGTTTGCTTGCAGCCTCTCGACGTACCCAGCGGCACATTCAAGCGCATGCCACTGGGGCCGTCAAGCCAGACACTGACCCCTGGCTAGCCACAGATCCTTGGAGTGCATATCATGCTAAAATTGCTCTTCCAGCAACTAAGCCGGACACAAAGCACATTGATGAAGTGGCCCAGAAACTGCAAGATTCAGTCCGCACGGAGGTCCTCAAGGAAATCCAGAACATGCCAGCCGCATCTGGTTCTACCTCTTCACCGATTGTAGACCAGCGATTCTCCAAGCTCGAGGCTGGTCTTCAAGAAGTCCGTGCACAAGGTGATCAGTTCCAAAAATGGTTCACTCAGGCCAATCAGCGAATGACCCAACAGGAGCAGGCTTCCAATGCTCTCAAGAGTGCAATTGACAGCCAACAAAAGGAGCTGGGGGTCCTTAGACAAGATGTTCAACAGACTGGCATTCAGGTTGGGACTCAGCTTGCTTCTCTTCGAAATGATTTGGGCTCACATCTTGATGACAAGATTGACTCGGCAATGCAGCGCTTTGAAGCTCTTTTGTCAAAGAAGCAGCGCACTGAGGATTGACTACGGCCCCCTGGGCTGCCCCCTTCCATCTC